CAAACACACACACATACACACACACACACACAAACAAACACACACACACACACACACACACACACACACACACACAAGCACTTGTGTCTGTCAGGGGTTTAAGTACTTTCTCTCCAGTATATAGTATCAAGAAATCGACAGGAAAAAGACTCGATGACATTGCGAGCTGGTTCTGATAAAGGCGCTCTTTGCAATCCACTGCTGCAGGGTACGAAAAAAAGCCAGCTTGTACTTTAGTCGTATTCAAGTGGAAGCAACCTACTGACCTGTTCTTAATTAAGCAGTGCGGGTAAGTTTACAGTAGCCGATCGGTCAAGCATCCGTGACCAGCAAGAAAAGTCGAGAGAACGAGTGTGAATGATTGTTGTTCCTCTCTCCCATGGAGAAAAGAAGAGAAGGGGTTGTTTCAGTTCGCTTCACCCCGGATTCAGTTTCATGCTTAGACACACTCAAATTGCGTCTCAAAAACGCACCCTGCTAAACTGAAAGGAACGCACAGTTATAAGATGGTTAATGTTCAAATCATGTAAATGAACAGCAGTGAAACCAGTAAAAAAAATAAATAATAATAAATGAAAAGTACTGGAAAGTAAATATTGAGAGTGTTCTTACAGAAAAGTAATTTGACTGAACTCAAGTATAACACTGAAAGGGCATGCTCAGTGGCCTATAGTTTCTCTAACCAGAAATTTCAAAATAAAATCAGTATAGATTTTTCTCAGATTGAGGAAAAGCGTTGATTACTTGAAAGACACAATAATGCCCTAAAAAGAGAATATAGCCCGAACAGACATTATTTTGGATACTTTGAATAAACTGTAGAAGATCATTGGCAAATGAAGATTGGACTGGGAAATCAGTCGCAAAGTGAAGGAAAAGGACGTAGCATCCAAGACGTATAATTACGCAACACCTGAACAGACACAAAACGACGAAACTGGGTGCCGAACAAAGATGATTTCCTTGCACGCAAAGCAACTGGGATTTTCTGTCACGCGTTGACTTAATATTAGCCACATGTACCACTATCACAAAACATGCAGACTTGACAAATTCAATGCTCACACTATTATATGTTTGTGACGAAGCAGTGATTATTACTCCTAGTTCTGAATGACTCCGTGGAACTTGACATTATATCGGAATGTTATACGGAAGGTCTGAAGGTCCGACGGGGTTATAGTAAAGTGATGGTGAAACGCACAGATCTCACGTTGCACAATGAATATTGGATTTGCAGTTTGTCATTAGTGGTAATAGTATTAATATCCTACCAGATAGTTACTTAAACTGGATAATAGATAATAGATAGCATTTGTACAGCGCAAATTTCCGCTCAACATCAAGCTCTATGCGCTTCACAATCTATACTATTACCCAAGCAGACCTGAGAGCATTCTGAAACAAACTCAACTTCCTAGGAAGCATACAGTGCAAGCAGCCATTTATAAGCGCTAAAACACTAACTTAGTGACAAGATCTTTCGCTGTCTATTGTCGGGTACCCATTTCCGCCTGGGGGAATGAGGAAAATACCTTTCCCAAGGACACAACGTCGGGCCCGCGGCTCGAACCCCCGACCCCGTAACATCACGATTATGAGTCCGGTAGCCTAATGATAAAGAGAAAGCAGCCCCGTTCTGTTGTAGTGAAAATCACCAACCTTGTAAGTCCAGAAATTCATGATACAGTTCGCGCATTTGAGGCCAAGTTTTTTTTATCAAAACTGTGGACCACGTAACCATATTGCTCAATAACTCTCCGTTTTAGTTCTGTGGTTCAAGAGAAATGCTTGTCAAGATAGTGGATACTTTGAGGGGAGAAACACGAATGCAGACAAAGGGAATCAGATACGAACAGTCGTAATGGTTTATTAGACCTACCCGCAGCGTATGTTCCAACCACACACACTGCTCAGTGGTAATTAGAATTCATTTTGTCCTGTTGTGTAGCGGTACTTGTGAAACAGAAGACTGCAGCATGCGTCACTTTGCAGTGGCTAGAGGGGAAGGGAAGGGTTGGTCTTCGATTTTTATTGTTTTTCATTTTTTTCCTGTAAAGTTTGGTCCCTTAAGCTAAACAAGCTTTACAAATTTGTGTACCACAAAAGGACGAGAAAAATGAAAGATAAAAGTAACCCGAGGACAACCAAGCCATTAGGTTTTCTCGCAGACCTTGACAAGCTCGGTCTTTCGTGAGGAAGTTTGAGACATGTTTTTGTTATCTTGGTGACAAAATTAATTCCTCTCAAGTCGGTGTCCTGATGATGGACCAAGAATTCTGACTTCAGAATTATTTACAATGCATCGAGTGAGACAACAGAAAATTACAAAATAACAATATCAATAACAAAGACAATAACAACAACAATAACAACAGTAACAACGACAAGAGCAACGATGACAACGATAACAACAACAACAACAACAACAACAACAACAATAACAACAGCAACAAGAACACAGCAACAAGAACACAGCAACAACAACGTCTATGACGATGGCGATAGCAACAGGTCTTACCCTCTTCAGTGCCACAAAATTAGTTCACATCAGAAAATTGCATCTCGAACTGCCTCCATTTCATAACAAAAGAAAGAGGGGGGGCGAGTCAGGTTTCCTAAAGTAGGCCTAAAGTATTAACTTTGTACTTACCAGTTTGTTTTACCAATCCAATCTCTTCCACTCTTCCACAGGCCGTGCACAAATTTATTGCTCGTGAACTAATGTCTCACTTTTCAGTCAAACGTTTCTCAGTATCAGCCAGGAACTTGAAAAAAGTTTGTTCTCAAAGCACATGTGATGCTGATGGTCAGACTGTGTCCAGATGCAAAAGCAACCTCAGGAAAAGCAGGTAGTTCAAAGCACACGAAACAAACATATCAAGAAAAAAAATTCTTTTACCAATATTTAATGTTCCTTTGTCGAACGTGTCACGTGTAACTATAGAGTTCTATGAGACCACAGAACTTTGTGGGACCACTTACGAAGAAAACAGATTGGTACTAATGCGATCAGTAAAGATTTGGGGCAGGGGCTTTTTTGTCGTTATTTTTTGCTTATTTGCTTGTGATTGCGTTTTATTCTGAAAAGTAGAGCAAAATCAGTTATTGCCTTACGTAGAATTCTTAGAGCTCCAGATAATCAGTGAAGAGGAATAATTAATTGTTAAGGATTCTTGTTACTTCAGTGACACTGTTTTTATATTGAAAGTTCTCGGTGTTTAAGTCCTAAAAAAGGGGAGGGGGTCTGGTGAAAGGGGGGGGGATGATTGTTTATATTTCTATTATTGTTTTGAAAGGGGGGTCATATATTGTTAATGCCTACAACAATGTTCATTTAGTTATGCCTCTTGATACGTTTTCTACAACACTGCACTTGTTGCTGATATTCTTTCTGCTATTTTTACTAATGTATTGTATTATTTTACTGCCAGAAGTGGAATCACTTTCTACCTCAACTGTGTTTTGTGCCATATACATGTCCGTGTAATTCTTAAAATAAAAATACCTTTTCTTCCACGGTAAGCTGTTAGACGTCAAGTCTTGAAAAAAAAAAAACTCTTCTAGGGTTAACTACTTCCTTGTCTAACAATATTGGAAACACGTAAGTCAACAAGACGGACAAAATAACAGCACTCCATAATTATTTGTCAACTAATTTTCCTCCGTGTGGAAAAAAAAGTCGGAACGCTCTAGTTTAACGCTTTATATTTGGGTGAACGATTCATCTACGGGTGAATGGAAAGGTTTTGGAAGTAAAGGAAGTAAGACGGGGGTGTTCAGATGGCGTTTCACAAAGAATGCTATTCTAAATCGGTTTGGTACTTTTTAGAAGAGTTGTTGCTAGTGCCAAATGTTACTGGCATAGCAGAAACCACAAGTTATGCTGCACCTTATTTCTTCTATTTCGCTTAAAAACTAGTCTCCTCTGCAAATGCATTGGGCATCGCCAAACGATGACAGGCGAAATATTGTTATTATTACAATTGTGTTTAAGTAGGCATTAGAGAGTGCCCTTGACAGGTTGACAACAAGCGATGTTTTAACATTATTTCAGAGGGGAACTTCAACACAATAACAAATAAGTGATTACTATGTAACCAGTAATTACTATGTGTAGTCTGCTTGGGGTTTTTTTCTACGTTTTGGTAAAACAAATGCCTCATAGTAAATCAATGTAGTCTTATTTTAAGTTCTGTTCGATGTTATCACATGATAACTTCTTTGAACGAGAAATAAATTTTCCTTGATGTTTCAAAGGTAACAGCATTGAGCAAAGTTCAAAATTTGTTCCTATTATCAAAAACGATGGGGGTTTTTTTTTCTTCTTTGCCGTTTACACCCCCTGTCAGATCTAGTTTATTAACAAAGGAGAAAATTGATTTATGAAAAAAAAAGTAAACGCGACCGATAGCCTATAATTTTCAAAACAATAAGGCCTACTTGCTCACTCCGCGCCCACAAACAATCGTGAACTTCTGACAGGAAATCCCACGAACAGATATTGCCTACTTCAGCGGCGGTCCGCGTTTAGTGAACGCTGGTGAGTGGCCACGCGACGTAAATCCTTCCCGAGAAAAGAGCGAGACTCTCTGAAAG